GCAGGTTAGACATCTCACAATGGTTTTCTTCTAATTTTCCGATATCTAAGATAACAGCCTTATCTTTCTCATAAAGACAACCCATGTCGGAAAACAAGTAATAAATAGAAGCCTGAGCCTGATTCTAGGAATACGATATATACCAAAGTTAATCCAGAGTTGGTTTTTCTGTTTGTTTTTTAACATAGATTAAGCTCAGACAAATCTGAAACTTCGGCTCTGAGAGGGACTCAACACCCAAAAAAAGAATTACCTGCTCAGTACTTTTTGCTGACTTTAATTCTGGTATATCTGAACCCTAGTTATTAACAAAGGCATCCATAAACCCTTAAGAAATTACCTCAATCAGGGAAAAGTTGACCTTAAGAATGTAAAAGTTTGAAAGAGAACATTTTCCTTCACAACTTGTTGGTCTCAGAAATACTTTCAAAGTATTACAAAGTTGGGTATATTTACTGTGTAGACATATTCAATAGCTCTTTCTGTTGAAAATTGTTTCAAGGACACTTTTATTCTTTGCTGAAAGGCAAAATTTATCCGTTGATTCCTAACTTTCTATTTTTCTGATTGTGAACCTTTTTCACATATAAGACAACTGGCACACATAAAATGAGGCATTTTTATTGTCCTACTTTAATAGATTTGACCAACATTAAAATTTACTCATAAATGGCATCTTCCCAAATTTAACTTTCAACCTAATTATATAAAATACTGCAAAAAATACTTAAAACGGAGAATGTCATTTAACTTGACTACAACACAAAATTAAATAATAACCAAAACTTATGAAAAGGCCCCAAAGATCTAGATGAGCTTGCTGAAAATGAAGTCTCCTAATTCTGGAGACTATCCCAGCTAAAGATATCCCGAAGCCAGAAGTTACCATGTGAACACAATTCATTAATGGGCCAATTTATTCAACACAAACCAATAAATACTTAGTTATAAAAACAAAGTGATGATGTCTTAATACAGGATGAAACTCACAAATACAGCCCCAGGCCCCAGAACATGCAGGCATCATTAGCAATTTAAAGCCAGCTTGCACAACAGGCACTAGAAGTGTTTTGAGAAATTTCACCACATTGGCAGTTGGCAGTTCTACCCTCCATCCTCCACTAAACTAAACCTAGATATTTAAACCTAAAACTATTTTCTAACCTTTGCTCCGCAACCCCAGGAAAAGGGAAAAAATGAAAAAAACTAAGAAATTATTAATAAAATATGAAATACAGGATTTGAACATAGTTTAGGAAATTCACTAGCAGTTTTATTCACTAGCTCATCTCCCTCCTCCCCATCTAACTCCTCTTAGCACTAATTCACGCTTACACACACACACCTTTTTGCTACACAATTCAGAATGATTTATGGGTTTGGAACATGTTCATACTTAGATTACATGAAAGAATATGGTAGATGGTAAATCTGAGATTGGAAATGTGGTCATCTCACACCTCAGCTCACTGATGAATCTGTTCATTGTTGCCTTTCAGTGTTCTTTGGAGGTCACGGAACCCACTAAAAAAACACCTGTTCGCTGTTTGGACTAAAGAACAACAATACTATAGTATGCTTTTTTGCTTGTTTGTTTAACGGAGGTAGAAAATTCTGGACTGACTCAGAACTAACGTGATCTTTAAAGTCACAGAACTGAAAAGTTACACCGTCACGGAAAATATCTGCTCAAGTATTTTCAGGGATAAACATTCGGATGGCATGGTCTTAACAGAAAAAGGACATCAGGTTTATTTAGTGAACTTCTCTCCAATTCTTCTAAAGTGTAATTTTATAAAACATGCTTTTAATTACTTATAATGGCTTATAAACTTCCTTTGCTTGAAACATTTAGAAGTCTACTCCATTATTCTCTCAAAATAAAACGATCAAGTGCAATATCAACAGATTCTTCAAATCGTTCATCTTCCTTTGAAATTATGATTGAGTTCATGTTTGTCATCAAAACCTAAAAGCAACAACTGAAATATTTAGTGCAGTGAGCACAGGGAATTCTTGGAAGGGTGATGGTGCATCAAAAGACTAGCAACTCTGTTCAGATAGAATAATAAAAACCATTTAAAGGACTCTAAATTCATCATCAATGGCATTTCCGGCAGGAAAACATTTCTAAAATTTCACTTTCAGTTTATTTCTTCATGACACAAACCAAAAGATCTGCTATCTAGATGATTATCTACTGCAAATAGTTCATATAAAATAGAAATCAGCCACCAGGATAAAAAGCCAGGAGAATTCATTTTCTCTGCTTTGAACCTAAGCAGTTTCATTTACTTTTGGAGAAAAATATTAATTAGAAGTATATAATAGAAGGAAAAAAAAACCCACCATTCCAAAGATAAACTTTTTTTTCTTTTTTGGTAATTCTTCTGTATGTTAAGAGATAATGAACATAAACTATTAACCAGTACACAATACTCATTTTTACACTGGAAAATAAAACTTTCCACAACAGTCTTAATGTTTCATGTATTTTCCTTAGAGCCCATCAAACTGCCACAAGTCCCATTCTGTTTTCAACAAAAAGGAAACATTTGTAGCACTAAATTGGGTTGATGTAAAATACTAAAGCCACCTTAGCCTAAATGGATTGCTTGATAACATTCTTTTAAATGGTCCTGACTGATTGAGGAAATGAGACTGTGAAAGGGAAATTTGATTAAGAGTTAAAATTACCGCTGAGTTCTTTAAAATGTACTAATGAATAATTAATAGCAAATGCAGTTCCTAGGCTTCCTTTACAACAATATTATCAAGTAGAACTGAAAGTACTGTCTGCAGTAAAATCCATCAGCTACTAGTCGCACAGGTGGGTACAGGAAGCATACACACATAGAAAGGCATTACAAAATTACACATACACACTGGTATGGACCGTAATATAGATCTGAGCTTCTATAGATCTGGTTTTAAAAAATCAGCATGGTAAATTTTAGATCAAAATTTACAACTTTAACACATCAACACCAAAACAAATCACCTCTTAAAAAGCTTAAAAGTCAAAAGCACTAAAGAAATCCTTTGTTCCTATGATACTATCTCCTTCTACTCTAACTGGATTCCAGCCTCTTCCTTTGTGACACGGGATTTTATTGATCTCAAACATGTTCACATTCAGAAATTAGTCTCCAAAGACAACCCAAGGGACTGCAAGCCACCTAGATACTACACATCACAGACATCTCAAAAAAAGACAAGAGCTTTGAAAACACATCACTACTTGGTCAGCAACAGTAAATGAAGCTAACCAGGCTCTCTTCGAAACAGACTTTTTCGTTAACTGGCAAAAACGCCAGATCTACTCAACTGGCAATAAATGTTTGACGAGTTCATAAATTTATGAAGGCGTAGATACACCCCAAAATTTCTCCCCTTGTGCAGCTCCCCGTTCATTCATCAACTGAGCACCTAAGTGACCTATTTTCAGGTTACTTTCCTCACACCTGCCAGGTCACTGTCCTGATTGAGAAACTTCTTGCTGAAGCAATTAATTTTTAGTGCCTACTAACTGTCCCGGGTGTTTGCATTCAATTTGAAATCTGTTACTTGTTAGACACTGTTCGGTCCTAGATCTTTCAGAGAATTGCGCGTTTATGGCGCAGAGAGGGGAGGAGGCGCGGATCTCCGAGAGCCTGCCCTTTATTCGGAAATGAGGAGATGTGAAAGGTGGAAGGCAGGGCAAATAAATAAATAAATCGGGTTTGCCGCCGAAGCGTTTGCCGGCCGGTACGAGCACCCTTTGTAATGCAGGCCTCCCGGGGCTATCGCCTGCGCTAATTGCTCCAGGGCGCTTTCCAAGTTCAAAAGTTCACCTTTTACGACCTCACAAAAGCTCCTTACACGTTACCAATAAAAACATTCCGCGGCAAACACTGTGGGGGGAAATATCAAACAGATACAAATAAAACACCCCGCGGGGGCAGAGAGCCGGGGGCCGGGGAGGGGGGATGGGGAGCGGTGGGGGGAGTCGGGCCCAGCCGCAGCCCGGAGGAACCTGAGGACTTGGCCCGGACATGGGGGCAGGGGGGCGCGCGGAGGGTAGGGCTGGGCCAGGTGAGGAGTCGCCCGGGCTCCGGGAGCGCCAAACGGAAGAGGAGAAGTAAGGCTGGGCGGACGCGGGCCGGGACCCGCGGGCGGAAAGAGGCAGGTGTCCCGGGCCCCCGGTCAGGCCGGAGCGCCGAGGCATCGGTAGACCGGGCTGAGCAGGGCGGGCAGGAGAGCGCGGGGCAGGAGCGCGAACAAGCGGGATCCGAAAACGAACCGCTGAGCCAGGAGCTCTGGGACTAGGGGGTGGGCGCCGAAAGGGAGGCGGGTGGGCAGCCCGGGAAGCGCGGCAGCGCGGAGGGGAGAGAAAGAGGCTCCCAAAAGGTGAGGGGCAGAGAGAACCCAGGGGACGAGGGTGTGGCGGCGGCAGGGCGCCGAGGGAGCGTCCGCGGAGGGAGGAGGGACGGGGGGGGAGCACTGAGGAGGTCGGCAGAGGGGAAGGACTCGGCGCTGAAGGGACCCTTTGGGGGAAGAGACCCTCGCACGGGGATCCCCCGGAGGCCGGGAAGGGGACGATGGGAAAGAGGGGACCACAGGGGCAGGGGACGCCCCCACTGACGGGACTCGAGGTGAAGGGGGCCGGTGCAGAGGGGATCTTGGAGGGGGGGGAGGATTCGCGCTGAGGGACGGGGCCGGGGGGAGGGGAGGCCTGTGTTGAGGGGACAGAGGGGAGGGGGAAACGGAGGTCGGGGTGGAGGGAACCAGGCAGGAGGAGAATCCGCGCCGGGGGCGGGGGAGTCCCCGGGGGGTGGGGGTGGGCGGCGAAGGAGAATCGGCGCTGAAGGGGGACCGGGGTGAAGGTCCGCGCTGAGGGGACCCGGAGCCGCCGCGGCTTCCCAGAGAGAGAGAGTCAGCTGAGAGGACGGGACTCCCCGGGGTAGGGGGACAGAGGCCCGGTTCTCGCCGGGCCGAGACTTTGCACGCCCCTCACCCACCGTTGCGCGGCGGCGGAGGGAGCGCGGCGGGCGGCTCCAGGAACCCCGCCGAGCCCCCGCCGCCTCCCCCTCCGCTAGGCGGCCGTTCGTCCCGCTCCATGCGGTGGAGCTCAGGGCCCGCGCTCGGTTCGCTGCTCCGCCATGACCGGCGCTCTCGTCGCCGTCGTCGTCCGCCAGGGGGAGGGGGCTGTCAGGGGCCAGCGGGCTCCCGGCCGCTGCGCTCTCTGGGCCCCGAGCCGCCCGGCTCCGCGCCCCTCCGCGCCGCGCCCCCTCAGCACTGGCCAGCTCCCACCCCCGACGTCACGCGCCACTGCCACGCACTGCCCTGCGGGGCACGCTGGGAATTGGAGTCCGCCGGGCGAGGCCGGCCACGCTGGACCCCACCAACTGAAGGGGTGGGAGGAGGGAAAAGCGGCCTTAAGAAGGGAAGGCCAAGGCCTGTTAACATCACGAACCCTGATGAAGACTTCCGGTACAAGTTGAATAAAGGTTACTTCAGGACCTTCTCTTTATTATGACTTATCCGTGTGCTCAACCTTCCCTAGGACGCCTCGGATCCCCCCACCCCGAGAATGAGTCTTTCCTAGGAGGCGGATCGCCGAGGAGCCGGGTGAGCACGTGCAAAGAGGCCCAGCCCCGTAGGCGGGTCTCAGAGGGGGCGGTGTTTGTAGGTATTCACGAGGGCCTTCCTCCGCGGCTTCGGGACAAATTGGACCCGAGATTAAAGGACCGGAGTTTAACTCGAGGTGACCGCGTTCGTATGCAAATGGAATCTATAAAACTCTGCTTTCCGGGGTACTCTTTAAAGCCTTTTTACCTCCGGGTGGGCGGGAACGACTGAAGTTTCTCTTCCTCCTCTTTCATTTTCTCCCTGCCCAAGGAACGGAACAGAATGGCAAACTAAGTTTCAAGCCATTGATGCTATTAAAGAAACTCAGGCTCTTTACTCCTGGGGTCTTGAAGCCCTTCGTTTGAGAGCGTCCTTCCTCGGCCTTGTTCGCCTTCCTTGCTCCTCAGTTTTCCTATCAGTAAAACGGGGTTAGAATAGGGACGGGGTCCAATTGGAAGATCCCAACCTTCCCCACCCGTGCTCCTTGCCTCAGTTTCCCAGAGCCTAACCCGGATTTTGCTGTTTCCGCTGCAGAGCCCACCTAGTATGCCACCAGGTGGCGCGCGGCCACCAGCGTCTGGGCTTGCCCTAGGCGTCCGCCTTCAGCGATCCTGTCTGTAAAGGGCTCATCGCGGCCGCCTCCCGAGGTCTAGCTAGGTTCTACCTGGTCAGTTCGAAGACAAAGAATGAGAACACTGATTCCTTGCTCGCCTCTAGTCTCCCGGGTTATGCCGCAGCTTCCTCACTGGCTGCCCACTCCCCCGCCTGTCTCCCACCCTGACTACAACCCCGCCCCACCAATCCGTCGGCTTGTCTATGTCATTGTTTGCTTAATTTTTAAGTTCTTATACTGGCTCGCACTCCTGCCTGATCTGACCCCTTCCACATTTCTCATCACAGCCCTTCCCTCACCTGCTTGGCAGGATGTTTTGTGATGCTTCCCTGTATTTACGGGTTGAGTGGCTGTACCTTAACAACACCAGTTAACCTGTACTGCATCCTTAATCTGTAACTGCTACTGTTCTGAGAGTTTGACATTAACGCCATGTTCTCTAAACCTCACATCTGCTTTATGGGGAGCTTTAGCTCCAATATTGCCCCTATCGTATACTGACGAAATCACCCGTCAGTAATGGGGATTCCAAACCCAGTCGGTCAAACACCAGAACTTGAACACTTGGCTCCTTCACACTGTTGGCTTCACCCAGTCCACTCCCAAACTCCTATTCATCTTTCAAGATCCTGTTCAAATATCCTCTCATGGATATTCATATCTCCCACCAGGGGACACTTAGATCTCCAGTGTGTTCCCTTTACTGCTGTTGAGTTCTCTGTGGACTGTGACAAATGATCTCTGTGTGATTGCTTCCCCACTACTATTCCCCAGCTCCAGAGGGGGAGGGGAACCCTTAGAGTAGGGGCGGTGGGTGGGGGTGTTGAGCTGGGGAGGGAGACAGAGGAGATGGGTCTTCTGGGCCATTCCCTCAACTCTAGGTCCTAAAATGAGTTAGGATCAGATGGCCTTCCTAGAGCCGAAACTTCCCTTTATCACAGACTTCTGGAGGTAGTAAGTTCCCCTTCCCTGGAGATCCAATCAGGAGCTAAGAGGCACTGCAGAAACCTCTGGAAGGCCTGGGGTTTTCTAAGTCGACTCTCAAAGATGGACAGAAAAGTTCAAACCCTCAGCCCTTAGAAGCAGCTCCTCCTCTTCCTTCAGCGTCCAGCTCTGCTGTTAACTGCCACCGAAAAACCCTTCTAGATCTTGACTAGTCAAATACCTGTTTTCTCACTCTCATCATTATAACCCCAACTGCTGAGCACAAAACCTGAACACAGTAGACAATAAATAATCGGGGAGGGGGTGAAAGAACAAATAAAACATATCTAATCTTTTTACTTAATAACTGCGACTTTGGTTACCTCCAAGCCTCCAAGTCCTGGTCTCAGGCTTCCCTTGTGGCTCGATGGTAAAGAATCTACCTGTCAATGCAGGAAACACGGGCTCGATCCCTGATCTGGGAAGATTCCACGTGCATCGGAGCAACTAAGCTGGTGTGCCACAATTGTTGAGCCTGTGCTCTAGAGCCTGGGAGCAGAAACTACTGAAGCCCATGCGCCTAGAGCTTGTGCTGTGCAACAAGAGAAACCACCACAACGAGAAGCCTGTGCATGGCAAAGAAGAGTAACCCCCACCCCCACATCACGGCTAAAGAAAAGCCATGGCAGCACAGCAAAACATAAATTATACATTTTTTTTTTTTACACGGATGGGAGGGAGGGGAGGATAATAGTTACTACCTTACGGGTTGTTACGAGAATCAAATAAGATGATGCATGCAAAGCATTTAACAAAGTGGCTTAACAAATAGGACTTGTTACTAATGTTATTTAAAGAGTGGTCCTAATTCCCAGTTACTTCTCTTCTGAAAATGCTTCTTGGGAAGAGTCAACTAACACAGAACTGAGAAGGGTGAGGGAAATGACTGTGTACTGAGACCCCAGCCATTGTTGTAAGCAGGTAGGGTCCTGTGAGGTGTCCTTCACCTACATTGTCCCCCCAACAATCCCAAGAGGTCAACACTTTTCTCCACAAATTAAAAATGAGGCAACAGGCTGAGAAAGATGAAAAAAACTCCCCCCCACCCCCCCCCCACACACACACATACATACACCAGCAGGACAAATGACAAAAGAGGAAGAAAATTATCTAAGGAGAAGGATCTGTGCTATCACTAAGAGCAAGGCAGGTGTAGGCTCCATCATGAGGGACTTGTCCTATGGTGGTAGAGACAGACACTAATCAAAGGAATCACATACCCACAATCATGACAGAATACACTTAGAAGCTCCTGGTGCTGTGGGAGTGTGTGACAGGGTTTATTTTGGTCAGGGGTGGTGATGGAGGGATCATGAACCTTGAAGATGAAAGGATGAGTGGGAGTGAGTCACACTGGGTGAAGAGAGAGTGTTTCAGGGGGGAGGAACAGCCTGTGCAGAGGTCCTAAGGCTCTGTTGAAACAGAAAATTCACTGTAACTGGAGCCTGCCCACCCAGGGGGGAGAGGGCAAGAGCCAGGGTGAAAAGGAGGAAACCATGGGCTCAGGTTGGAGATTGCCAGCAGGGGGAGCAGAGTTCTCTCGACGACAGCAGCCTCCTCCAGGACCTAGCCAGAGTCGGATCCAGGCTGCATGGAGGGAGAGGGCTGGGTAAGGGGAACCCCCAACACGTTCTGTTTGTTTTCAGTACATGTTGTCTATTTTTTGAATAGCTAGGACACATTGCAAAAAATTATTCAATGAAAAGCCTTTCTCCTTACTGCATTCCTAAAGGCTGGCTCCTCTCCTTATCCATTAATTGTGTCCATTCCCAGATTTTCTATGCACATAAAAACACACACCATATTTATTTTTAAGCTAATCTAGCCCTCTCTAGGGAATCTCTAGTTATGAAAGAAGCCAATTTGTACTGAACGCATGATAGAATGATTCTATCATTCAACTGAAAATAAAGGAGCACCAGACCTTGTGCTGAGGCAGTGGTTCTCAGATTTTAAATCCCCGGGGAGGGTTGGTTAAGAAACACAGATTGTTGGGCCCCACCTCTAGAGTTTCTGCTTCCTTAGGTCTGGGTTGAGGCCTGATGTTTGCATTTCCAACAGGTTCCCAGATGCTGAGGCCTCTGGTCCGGGGACCAGGGACTGACGGCACTTTGAGACCTCTGAGCTAGCTGCTCTGTGGACAGAGCACATGGTCTGGGGAGCCTTACTCCTCTCTCACAAGGGAAAGCATGAACAGACACAAAGAAACACATACCAACAATATAGTTCATAAAGTGATTAGTTCTACAAGGAAAATGAAGAGGGTAGGGGAGTGCAGGAAGGGGAAGTGCTGGAGAGTAGGGTTGGGGTAGGAGTGGAAGGTAGCAACATTTGAGGGCACAAGTAAGAGGCCCTTTTTGAGCAGTTGACTTTTACAAAGCCTGGCAAACACAAGAGGAGCCCTCCTGGGCTCGGGGGAGGGGAAACCTACAAGAGACCTTATGCAGAGAGCAGAAAGGGGGCTCCACCCCCACCACTGCGTGCACAGAGCCAGAGGGACCTGCAGAAGTGACTGTGGAATTCGGAATGAGATGCGAGGGGGCAAATCCGAGACAGGAGAGTTGGAGAAGGGGGCACGATTGAGAGATGTGGTCCCTGAGAGGGTAGAGAGGTGCCGCCTTGGTTTCGGTTACAGAGATCTCAACAAGGTATTCCCGTAGTGAGACCGAAGGCTCCTGGAGCGAGGGGATGGCCAGGGAATTTGAGGAGTGGCGAACACAAACTGCTGCTTGGGAAGTTTTGTTGCCTAGGAAGCGGAGAATCGAGGCGCTTCCTCAGGTGGATGAGGAGGGTGTTTAAATGATTGGAGCTACAGGAGTTTAGTTGGGGGTTGACGGGAGGGATCTCGGAGAGGGGAAGAAATGGACCTTGCAAGAGAGAGAAGTCTGAGCCA